TGAGCTGGCCACACACACACACACACACACACACACACAAATAAATAAATAACATAAAAAAAAAAAGATTAAAACAAAAAGTTTTCCTGGGCTCTTGTGGGACAGGCTGGGGCGCAGGACTGGAAGAACCTATCCCACTGGGCTGGCCAGGGCTGGGTGAGGGTGAGGAACCTTGTAGCCCACGGCCAGGTCCACGGAGTTTCAGCATAGGTTTCTGAGGGGTCTGCCCGGTGCTTCCACAGGGGCTGCACTAGCTCACATTCCCACTGTACTTCCTCCCTGAGCCCGTCAGCATTTGCTGTCTGATTTCTGGATGGTGGCCGTTCTTTCTGAGTGACATGGAATCTCAGTGTTGTTTCAACTTGCACTTCTCCAGTGGCAGCGATGTTGACCATTTTTTTCCATGTAATTACTGGCCGTTGGTACTACTGAGAAGTGTCTATTCGTTTCAGCGGCCCGTTTTGTTCTGTTTTGTGGCATGACCTTATGCTGTTTTCCAGGCTGGCCTAAAATTCCCAGCAATCCTGCTGCTGCACCTCTCCACTGGGGATTACAGGTGCACACCATCATGCTCTTTTATTTGGGGGCAGGGTCCAATTTTTTGAGTACTTTGTACATTCTAGATATTAGTATCTGTCTACAGAGTAGCGGTCAAGATTTTTTTACCCACTCTGTAGGTTTCTTGCCTCTGTTGTTTCTTTTCTGTGTGGTTCAAAATGCTTTTTTTAAAAAGAGAAAAAAAATTCAATAAAAATTTCAAAACAAAAAAATTCAAAGTAAGACAGTAGAAGGGTAATAATGGGGCCAAGGAGATAGCTCAGTAGAATAAGCACCTGCCTGGCAAGCACAGGGTCCTGAGTTCAATCCCCGGTATTACAAAAAAAAGGTAACAGTGGTCGGTGTATTATGCATTGTCATTTTTAAATTAGTTACTCAGAACACAAGATGTCAGCATTTATCAGCATTTAATTGTCCAAACAATAATAGCACAAACCTCTCTTTTCAATGAACTAAGAGAAAGTAGTAGCGTAACTATTTTATCTTTTATATTATTTGTTTCTTTTGGCCTTTCCTCTTCTCCATTGCCCCACCCCAGTTTCACTTTCCTTTTGAAGTTTCTTCCCATTTTATAATATCTATTATACATTCGGATCTCATTTACTCTTTTGGCTTCTCACTCTGGGAGACAATACAATGCCTACACATGTGCGCCTGGCTTATTTCACTTATGAGTATGGTCTCTAGTTGTGTTCTTTTACCTATAAAAGTCTGTAGTTCATCCTTCTTTATGGCTGAGTAATATTTCATTGTATAAAACGATCACATCTTTTCTATCCATTCCTTGATAGGTATTTGGCTTGTTTCCAAGATCTAGCTATTACAAAGCTAGATCATGTGCTGCTATGAACATGGGTGCGCATATGTCCCTGGGGTCTGATGTTTTTAATCCTTTTGGGAAGATATGCAGAAGGGGAACAGCTGGGTTGAAGGGGACCTCTGATCCTAGGTGGTTTTTGTTTTGTTTT